CCTGTCACTCCTGGCCTATTAGGCTCATTACAGAGACGCAGCCTAACAGTTACAGAGACAGTCGATCACTGGAAGGGTGTTGTCGCCCTGAAAACCACTAAAGCTCTCACTCTGCCAGAAGAGGCTGTGGACAGCGAGAGTGGAACACAGGCTGCCAGAGGGGGGTGGGGTGGGGTGGGGTGGGGTGTTCACACTCTGGTTCGGGGCCCTCAGCTGGGTCGCTGCAGGACTGAGTGGAGGCCGAGAACAAAAGCTGAATGGACTGAGAGCAGCTCCTGACCTCTGACCTCTGACCTGCTGCTGTCAACAGTGGACCGGTGTGATGGATGGAGGCCCTAATGAGATCCTGATGATAAAAATAAAAATAGTGTTCAGGTGTTTTATCATCTGGACTTTATTAGTTCATTGATTAATTATAGATGATACATTCTACAGTGTTGCGTCATGAGTCAATAGATTTAATATCACATTATTGATAAGGATATTTTTAATATTTATTTAAGTTTTGTCTTTTTCTGGTAGAGCTGAGCTTCACTTCTTCACCTGTTACCGGCAGGTAAGATGATGACGCCATGATTCTAAGCAGTGAACAGGTGTTTTAAGGGGTGTAAAATACCTGTAACACACTGACATTGAAACACCTGACACATGCGCAGTGGAGTCTCTAATAACAACAGTAAACCTCAGTAGACTCTCTCTTTCTCGTCAGTCGCGCGCTTTATGCTAATCAGTGTGCGCGCACGAGCCTTCCAGAGAGGAGAGTTGAGCGCGCGCCAGCAGCAGCACTTTAGCTCGTGAACAGACCGTTAGTTTCTGCTCCGGTGTCCGGTCGGTCCGTCGGTTCTCTCCTCCCCGCTCAGCGCGGCAGTTTGTCGGTGTGGATCCAGGTTGTTCTCCGGGTTCTCCTGCTCACTCCTCCGGACTGAAAGTGTCCGCTGCTCCGCCTCTGAGCTCCGGATCCCGCTGTCTGGTCCGCTCGGTTCTCCGCCCGAAGCCCCCGCTCAGAGTCTCTGGTCTCCGGGACTAACCGTCAGTTTGGACCCGGTTCTCCTCCGTCCGGTTCCCCTCTTCGTTCCTCAAGTTTTAGAGGCAGTGGTGCGGTCCGGTTGGTCCGGTTAGCCTTGCTCCTGGTCCGGGTTCAGACATGGGTTGGAGTGTCCCGGTTCTGCTCTCAATCCTCTGTGCTCAGCTCACCGCGGGAGTCCCGGACGGACCGGACGTCCAAGGTAAGACGACCTGAGGGAGTCCTCCGGTCATCCGGTACAGAGGAAAGAAAACTCAGTCTTAATTTACTACTGTGTACTCTGTGTGTGTACTGTGTGTACTGTGTGTACTCAGTAGAAATCAGAAGTACTTGTACTTTAACTTCCCGCTCATTCAATATTGAACTTTTACTGTCACATGAAGATGTTAACACCTGTGATCATCTTTAAGCCTGAAATTAATAATTATTTTCATTGTTAATTAATCTGCCGATTATTCTTTTGATTAATCAATTAATTGGTAACAGGAAGTGATCAGATCAGATCTGTGTGGAGTCCAGGACCTGATAAGTCCAGTATCTGCTGTGTCAGAACTGATCTGGACTCTGTTGACACTGGAAGAGTTTTTGAATGATGATACTTTTAATTTTTGATCAGTATTGATCAGTTATCAGTCTCTAAATGATCAGAGACGATTGATTCCCACAGGCTGAGGTGAAGATTCACGTCACTGTCATGAGACCAAGAGGCACCAGACTCTCTCACTGTGACACTTCTGCTAGAAAACGATCAATAAATGAATTACCTGGTGATCAGCTGATCTCTGAACACAACGATTCTGAGGCTGAGACCCAGACCACGATACGAACACCGGTCCGTCTCTGTGGTTCTGAGACGGATGGTCTGAGTCTGTTCTCGAGGACTGAAGTCAGTTACTAAAGGTCGTCTCTGAGAGAGGACACAGGATTATCAGCTGTTTGTTGTTCTTCCTCTGTGGTGTTTCTGTTGGCCTCCGATCCAACACTGGCCCACAGGCTGCAGCTTCAGTCTCAGAGCCACAGACCTGGTCCAGAGCCAGAGACCTGGTTCAGAACCACAGACCTGGTCCAGAGCCACAGACCTGGTTCCTGCAGGTTCTGTGTTGAGAACCAGTTCCCTGAGCTCTGACGGTGACCCACATGTTCGATGAGAGAGTGAAAGCAGCAGTTCATGTTAGAACAGGTAAACTGACTCACCTGTGTTCAGCTAATTAACCACTGCCAACAACATCACCTGTCACCATAGCAACAGCTTGTACACAAAACATGGTCTGTATCTGAGCTCTCTCCCGCCTCTGTGACGATTAGTTCATTAATTGATTAGTCCATTGAAATGAGTCAGTTTTTTCCAGCTGTTATTTATAATTAGCTTCATTAATGTGGATTCATTCAGCAGCTGATCACAGATCTGAACTGAACCTTTATTTATAACTTTAATTATTGACAAATGATCAAAGATAAATTAATGATCCCAGAGGATCCAGATCCTGATGGAGGTCTCCACATGTTCTCTGAGGGTTTTAAGAGTTCTCTATGGACTGTGTCTGTCAGGAGACGTTCTCCATTCTCTTCATGTCAACATCCTCACACACATTACCAGTAATTATAATATTCTTCCTCCTCCTCCTCCTCCTCCTCCTCAGTGATTGATGTGTTGAGCCTTCAGGATTCGAGGCAGAGCGTAGCGGCGGTGGAGAAGCTGTCTGGTGGTCTGAGCGCACTCAGTGATGTCTACGTGGTGTCGACGCTGCGGTTGCCATCGAAGCTGGGCGGAGTCCTGCTGGGTCTCTACAGCAAACAGGACAACAGGAAGTACCTGGAGGTCGCCGTCATGGGGAAGATCAATAAAGGTTGGTGGAACCTGAACTAAACCAAACCTCATTCGAATTCTCTATATTTTAAAATCAATATTCATCTTCAGCACTGCGGGTCACATACGGGTTCTTGAGAAGGTTCTACTGGTTCTTTAAGATCCCCAAGTGGTCAATAAAAAGATAAAAGTTTCTACTGGTAACTAAAGAGGTTCTAGTCACTGACGAGGTTCTAGTTGTCAATGAGGAGGTTCTAGTTGTCACGGAGGAGGTTCTAGTTGTCAATGAGGAGGTTCTAGTTGTCACTGAGGAGATTCTAGTCACTGACGAGGTTCTAGTTGTCACTGATGAGGTTTTAGTTGTCAATGAGGAGGTTCTAGTTGTCACAGAGGAGGTTCTAGTTGTCACTGACGAGGTTCTAGTTGTCACGGAGGAGGTTCTATTTGTCAATGAGGAGGTTCTAGTCAATTAGGAGGTTCTAGTCACTGAGGAGGTTCTAGTTGTCACAGAGGAGGTTCTAGTTGTCACTGACGAGGTTCTAGTTGTCACTGAGGAGGTTCTAGTTGTGACGGAGGAGGTTCTAGTTGTCAATGAGGAAGTTCTAGTTGTCACGGAGGAGGTTCTAGTTGTCAATGACCAGGTTCTAGTTGTCACTGAGGAAGTTCTGTGGGTTGTAGAAGTGACTCGTGTTCTTGTGGTCCGACTGAACTCAGTGTTTAACTGTCACTCGGTGGTTCGGTCCGGTCTGAAGATCTGGTCTGTGCTGGACTTGAGAGTCCTGCAGAGGAATTAGGTTCTAGATGTGGTTCTGCTTGTGTTGTTATGGCGACAGACTGATCACTGTAATCTGACCCAAGGTTTCATTAACTGTGTGTGTGTGTGTGTGTTTTGGCTCAGCGTGACCTTTGACCTCAGGCAGGAAAATGACTTCATAATGAAAGCCATCAGTCACATGTTTATATTCAGGGTCAGACGGAGGCGGAGCCTGAGAGTCGACTGTGACTGTGAGTCAATAATTATAATGATGATCAGATAGTTGATTCTGAACTGTTTCGTTCAACACTGACGTCATTACAAATAGAGCAGCAACTAACGATCAGTATCATTATTGATTAATCTGATTATCATTTTCTCAATAAATGAATTAACAGTGAGAAATGTCTGTTTGAGTTTCTCAAATTGAAATCTTCAATAGTCTCTTTTTATCTGACGACTGATTAAAATGTGACAAAATCAATTAATCAATTATCAAAAAAAAAACAGTTTTAATAAATTCTTAATAGACTCTGATCAACTTATTGTTTCGTGGCCGTCAGTTAAATCTCTGGGTTTAAGAAGCAAAACAATCAATTAATCTAAAAAATAATCAGCTGATTGATCGATTCTGAAATAATTATTAATTATTACCTCAGTTCCAGGATGTTACAGTCTGCTGTTATATTCAGTTTCATTTCCTCAAACAGCTGATCACTGTAGTTTCTATCAAACAGGAGAAACTGTGAATTTGTTGGGGGCTATTTTCAGCGGCAGATTGATTCACATCAGCTGCTGTGAGTGTTTAGAGCAGCAGGATGGTTCTTCTTCTTCTTTCTCTCCAGGTTGTTTTATTTTGATAGGTCAGCTTCCTGCTTCACTCGGTTTCTTCTTTTCCATTGAACTTGTTCCATCGTCTCGTCCAGAGGGAACGTGGAGCGGTGGCTCTGACCTACAGAGGCTGAGCAGGGACAAACGTTAGAGCAGCAGTTGTTTTCATGATGGTTCTATTCAGGTTCTGGTTTATAAAACATCAGAATCTGAGTCTGGATCTTCTCCTCCAGTCCTGGTCCGGTACGTCCGAGCGGACGGGAAGATCCACACCGTCAACTTGCAGAACGCCAACCTGGCGGACGGGCGGACTCACTCCATCATCCTGAGACTGGGAGGTCTTCACCGTGACAACATGAACATGGAGCTCTACGTCAACTGCCGATTGGCCGACTCCGGCCAGGGCCTGCCCCCCCTGGTCCCGCTGCCCCGAGAGGCGGAGATGGTGGAGATCAGACACGGACAGAAGGCCTACGCCCGCCTGCAGGTCAGAGACGCTGCACCACTTCCTGTCTGATCGATTGAAAATTAATGATCAATAATATCTACAGCAATGCCTTTCTCTCTGTTTTATCACAGTAACTTTAAAGTGTTGGTCGCCGTGGATACGATGTTTAGACGATTGATCAATGAATGACTGTTGATAATAACAGGCACAGCTGATCAAAGCTGCAAATGTTCAATTGAAATTAAACAAAAAGAAATGAAATCAGGATTCTTATTATTTTATTAGATATTGATATGAGTCAGGGTTACCGTGGGAATGGTCATTTTTGAATCTCTCAAAAAAATAAATATAAAAAATATAAATAATGTGGTTTAATCTGATCTGTAGTCCATCTCTGTAGAACCTTCATCTAACAAACTGCAGCTCCTGTGATTTGGATGTTGCTTTTGATCATATTGAGATTTTCATAATATTTCCATTAATTGTTCAGCTGTAATTAAAATGTGTAAAATGATTTTCAGGAAAAACGGAAACACTGAACTTTAAATGATAAAACAAGAAAATAAAATCCGGTTCACGATAAAGAGTCAGAGTGAGAGGTCTTCATCTGTCTGAGCTCTGAGTCTGAGAGTCACTGATGCTGCCGTCTGACACACAAGGATGATGATGATGATGATGATGATGATGATGATCTGTGCTTGATTCAGATTTTACAGACTCAGATTCAAACCATCTTGATATTAAAGAGGAGATCTGGTCCTCACTCCATCCTCATGTCCTCATGTCCTCTGTCCCCTCTGCTCTCAGAGGACGAACCCTCTTCATCAGATCATGAGTTTGAGCCTTTGACTCCAGCGCCACCCTCAGGACAAACGTCAGATCCACTGCTGTGGACGTCTCTGGTCTGAGGTGTGAAACCGACCCAGATCTCAGGTCAGAGCTGATGATGCAGCCGTGACTCAGAGACCACAGAGACACAGCATGGAGACAATCCTCCAAAATAAAAGCCTCCTGGTCTCAGTCATGACCCTGGTCTTTCAATCTGACAACCAAACAGTCAGAGTGAAGAAGAGACTCTGGACCACAGACACTCAAACATGGAGGTTCTGTCATCAACAGGGATCTGAGACCTGTAGGACCTGATCCAGGTCTGGACCAGGTCTGGACCAGGTCTGATCCAGGTCTGGACCAGGTCCTCTGCAGTGAGAGGATCAGGAGACATAGAGCTTTAAAAGTTTATAATCTGTACAGGTTTTGTGGAGTCAAGTTCAGACCAGAACACACCTGCAGCAGGTGTACTAGTGGATTTTTATAGGGTTAAAGGTCATTGTTGACGTGTCTGTACTGAGACTGAGACCTGAACTGACCAATGTCCATCTGTCCCTCAGGGTGCAGTGGAGTCCCTCAGACTGGCTCTAGGGGGCAGCGTTGCTAAAGCTGGAGCTCTGACTGACTGTCCCTTCCAAGGAGACTCCTCTGCCTACAACTCAGGTGAGCTCACCTCACTCTAATCCTCCACCACACAGGTAGACTCAGACCAGGTCCGGGTCAGGGTCCAGGTTCTGGGTGTTTGGAGCAGTTTAAATCACAGAGAACTAACTCTAGCCAAACATGGTCACCTGTGACTCAGGTGTGTCCAGCAGGTGAGAGAGGAGCTGCTGCTGCTGCTTCATGTTTCAGTTACTCAAACACCCGAGGGCTTGTGCTGGTGAATCCAGGTGTTTGTGACACCTGAGGAAACTCACCTGTACCTGTGTTGTGTTTCAGTGAGCGGGGAGGTGAACTCCATCCTGGGTGAGTTTGTGCTCCATTCACACTGATCACACCTGATACTGATCAATAATCAGCTGATCACTTTCATCTCTGTTCACCTGATCACATTCCCTCTCAGGTGACCACACCAAGGCTCTGATTGGTCAGCTCATCATCTTCAACCAGATCCTGGGAGAGCTGCGCCAGGACATCAGAGAACAGGTGAGACAGACAGAACATAAGAGGACAGGTGAGACAAAGGACAGGTGAGTGGACGTACCTGTAGAGCTGACCTGTCCCTCGTCCTCAGGTGAAGGAGATGTCTCTGATCAGGAACACCATCCTGGAGTGTCAGGTTTGTGGTGAGTCAGCAGTTTCTGTCCTGTTGTTGTTACACCTGTGCTGGTCGCCTGAGGACCTGATTGAAGACAGTCTGTCTCGTCAGGTTTCCATGAGCCTCGTTCCCGCTGCTCCCCCAACCCCTGCTACAGAGGAGTGTCCTGTATGGAGAGTCTGCAGTATCCTGGATACACCTGTGGACCCTGTCCACCTGGGACCAACGGCAACGGGACGCACTGTCAGGACGTCGATGAGGTAACGACAGCTACACAACAACTACACAACTACAACTACACAACAAGAGAGACAGGTGTTGCAGTGAGACAGGTTAATATTAACCCACCCCCTCCTCCCCCCTCCCTCAGTGTGAGCTGCAGCCCTGTTTCTCTCCTGGAGCCTGTGTGAACACTGTGGGGGGGTTCAGCTGTCAGCCCTGTCCTCCTGGTCTGTGGGGGGCGCCACTGGCTGGAACTGGACTGGACTACGCCAACACACACAAACAGGTCAGACACACACACACACACACACACACACACACACCACACAAACAACAGAGAGGTCTCACACAACACAACACACACACTCACACACACACACACACACACACACACACACACACACACTGCGCCTTGTTAATGGTGGATACACGTCCAGATATTTTACAGGCTGCAGTGTTGAAGTCGTTCAGTAGTAATATAGTAATAATAATAATATTGATAATAATATTGATCACACTGTGTGTCTCAGGAGTGTGTAGACATCGATGAGTGTGTGGATCTCCCTGACGCCTGTGTATCAAACTCTGTCTGCATCAACACTGTGGTGAGTCACTGAGGATCAACAGGAACTACAAACAGCTGATCTGCAGTCAGCTGACTCAGGGGGGCGGCGCCCTCTGGTGGACACTCAGCCCTGACTCTGTCTCTTCTCTCAGGGCTCGTATAAGTGTGGCGGCTGTAGACCTGGTTTCCTTGGTAACCAGACGTCAGGTTGCTTCCCCAGGAAGTCGTGCGCTGCGTTGACCTTTAACCCCTGTGACACCAACGCCCACTGCACCATGGAGAGGAACGGGGAGGTCTCCTGCAGGGTGAGGATGTCGCCTGGCTCAAAGGCAGTCTGTCAGTCACGTGACCTCTGTGACATCACAACTGCAACAAGCTGACATCAGACAACATGATCTGTGTGTGTGTGTGTGTGTGTGCGCAGTGTAATGTGGGCTGGGCAGGTAATGGTAACACCTGTGGAGTGGACACAGACATCGATGGGTATCCAGACCGCTCTCTGCCCTGCATGGACAACCACAAACACTGCAAACAGGTCAGGGGTCAGAGGTCATGTGACCTTCATCATTTAAAGCTGCAGCTCCATCCTTCATCAGGAGACTCACTGACTCAGCACATTGTGTGTGTGTGTGTGTGTGTGTGTGTGTGTGTGTGTGTGTGTGTGTGTGTGTGTGTGTGTGTGTGTGTGTGTGTGTGTGTGTGCCTCCACCAGGACAACTGTGTGTTCACTCCAAACTCTGGTCAGGAGGATGCCGACAATGACGGGATCGGAGACCAGTGTGACGAGGACGCAGATGGAGACGGCATCAAAAATGTGGAGGTGAGAGCGATGCTGCACTGACTCACAGTGATCACATGACGCTGATCACATGACGCTGTTTGAGTTTTTGTCTTTACTCGAGTGTGACAGGAAGTTCTTCTGTTTTTTCTCTCACTGTGTGACTCATCTGCATAACCCCGCCCACTGGCTGGTTTGTTGGATGTTGTTGATTGACGGCCTCAAACAAACCTGGTTGGAGCAGGGGTTAGTTTTAACTTGTTGCCATGACAACAAGGCACTGTCTCCTTTTCTGCAGGTGTAGGTTGACTACAGCAGAATGAGCGTTTATCAGCGATGTTTCACACACTCAACACTGCAGTGTGTGTGTGTGTGTGTGTGTGTGTGTGTGTGAGACTGACTGTGTCACAGTGAGCAGGTAACAGGTGTAACAGTCACTGAGCACAGACGTCCTGCTCAGATCTTTCTTGCTGTCCTCTCTCTGATTCTGGATCAGATTCAGGATCCAACATGAACAGATGGATTTAACAAGTTACTAATCAGTTCTGTTCTGCTACTAGTTTTAGTTACTAGTTACTCGGGCTGGGAACCAAAACCTGGTTCCAAATCAGAACCAAATGCCCAAAACCAGGGAAATGGAAGCAAACCTGTCTCACCAGATCAAAAACACTTGTGAAGCTCTAGCAATGATTTTTTTTTTGCATTTAAATTATGTATCTGAATTTTTTTTTTTGACCCCTCAATTTCAAATTCAAATTTTGAAGAAGTCATTTCACTGTTATTTTTCAATGTTCACAAATTCAGAATGAAAAATTCAACATCAGTCACATGACCAGTGGAGCGTAACCTGATTGGCAGGAAGTCGGTTCAATTTGAGGCAGGATCAATCAATTGCTTCATCCTGGATGTTGAATCAGAATGATGATGATTCAGATTATATGAGTTATTGATGATTTCAAGAGTTGAACTCAGAGTAAAAAAAATAAAAAACAGATACATATTTTTGATGCAAAAAAATAAATCTAGAAATTCACAGTTGTGCAGGGCACAGGTCAGAGGTCAGAGCAGCTGATTACCTGTGGGTCAGGTAGCAGATGGAGTGTGAGCAGGTCTCCTGAGGTTCTCCTCTGAGGTTCAGGGTTTGTTCTCTCAGCTCAGACTCTAACAGCATGGTGTCTCATGTGGACACATGAACGAGGGTCAGACCTCACCTCAGTGTGTTGTAGCTGTGAGCTGCCAGGTGGTCAGGTGGTCAGGTGACGTGTCCTCTGTCCCTCAGGATAACTGCCGGCTGGTCCCTAACAAAGACCAGCAGAACTCAGACAGCGACTCGTTCGGAGACGCCTGTGACAACTGTCCCAACGTCCCCAACAGTGACCAGAGAGACACGGACAACAACGGACAGGGAGACGCCTGCGACCAGGACATAGACGGAGACGGTAAGAGACACTGTCTGTGTCCTGGTTCATCATCACAGAGACAGGAGACAGATCAGAGGAGGGAGACAGCTTCAGGACAGACAGACAGACAGACAGACAGACAGACAGACAGACAGACAGACAGACAGATGTGGTCCGCAGAATGTTTCTGTCAGGCCTTCCCAGCATGCACCTGTATATTTATACACAAAACCCTTTACTGTGACCCCTCCCTGTGTGGAGGAAAGTGGAGACAGCTGAGGTTTGATCTTCATCATCATCATCATCATCAGTCTGTCAGTTCATATGTGATGCTGTAATGAAGAGTGCAGCCTGTAGGTGGCGCCTGGCGACTTCCTCTAAACTGGACTCAGCAGAAACACTCTGGGTCATCCCTGAGTGAAGAGGACGAACAGACCAACCACATCCATTTAACTCTGTGTGTGTGTGTGTGTTTTCAGGTATTCCCAACGTTCTTGATAACTGTCCGAAGGTGCCGAACCCGATGCAGACGGACAGAGACAGAGACGGAGTGGGAGACGCCTGTGACAGCTGTCCTGAGCTCAGTAACCCCATGCAGGTGGAGTCCCAGTCCGTCCACTGTGGTGTTGCGTCCTCTGACTGGGACCCATTGTGTCTCACATGAGACGTGTCCCGTCAGAGACGACTCATCCTCTCACTTTAGTTTCACACTTTAATGAAGTTGATCCAGTGATTCACAAACGAACATCAGACACGTTTAAAAGTCTGTAACATGTGATTCATGTCGTGGCTCCTCATTGGTTTAAAAACTCACTTTCCCTCTTTTCCCTTTAACTTCATAATAATGGAGATTTAACAACATGATTTTATATAAAACATTTTTATTAATTAAGTTTTAATTCATATAAAACATTTTCAGCAGCGTTTTGTGTGTGTGAGGTCATAAGTTTATCATCATCATCCTATGAGTGTGTGTCTGAACAAACACACACGTTACAGTAACTGATCACCTCCTGGATCAATAATATGACCCACACTAACAGGTCAGAGGTCACCTGTGTCCTCATCAATGTCTCCTCTCTTCCTCAGACGGACGTGGACAACGACCTGGTGGGAGATGTTTGTGACACCAATCAGGACACGTATGTGATTAAACACAGTGTCTGTGATGTCATCAGTGATCAATAAACAATATTCACATAAAACAACAGAAACAAACACAGTGAACACAACTCTGTCCTCGTCCTCTGCAGGGACGGAGACGGTCTCCAGGACAGCAGAGACAACTGTCCCGACATCCCCAACAGCTCCCAGCTGGACTCTGACAACGACGGCCTCGGAGACGACTGTGACCACGACGATGACAACGATGGCGTCCTCGACGACTACGACAACTGTCGACTCATCGTCAACCCCAACCAGAAAGACTCTGACAGTAAAGACCGTCCATGAGCAGAGACATCAGCTGTTTATTATGATATAATATAAAATCATCAGTTTATTATAATAATATAATAAATTGATCTTCAGGCTGTGACTCTGTGAATCAGATATTTGACTGTAAAGCTTCTTTTTCCACACGAGTCTTGTACTGCAGACGCACCTATCTCTGTGTGGGCGGTCCCTATGCTCTGGCCCCGCCCCTCTGATGCTAGACCCTCCTCCTGTCTGTCTCTGTCCTCAGTGAACGGTGTGGGGGACGTCTGTGAGAACGACTTTGACAACGATGCGGTTCTGGATTTGATTGATGTGTGTCCAGAGAGTGCTGAGGTCACGCTGACGGACTTCAGAGCCTATCAGACCGTGATCCTGGACCCGGAGGGTGACGCCCAGATTGACCCCAACTGGGTGGTGTTGAATCAGGTGACCCCCGACCTCGTGTTCCCCACATGATCAACGTGGTCGTTTCCAGGTGACGTGGAGCGTTAGAGGCTCTTAGAGACCTGTGGACTCACCTGTCCTCAGTCCTCGTCCAGGTGAGTCCTGCAGAGCCTCTGACCTGAGCTCCAGAACACTGAGACCTGGTACTGGGACAGGTGTGACATCACAGGGTTCATACAGCCGTGTGTGACATCATCACATTCAGCTCAAACAGAAAATGGCAGAGCGTCTTATCTCTGATCCTGTAGAGGACACCTGACTGAGTCAGAACCTGTGATGTCACTCAGGTGTGCTGGTCAGACTCTGACAAACACAAACCTGATCTTGTCCGTCTTGTCCTCAGGGAATGGAGATCGTCCAGACCATGAACAGTGACCCTGGTCTCGCTGTGGGTACGTGTTTTTACCTGAACCTTTATGAAACCACCTCTGACCCGTTCTGGGTCCTGGTCCCGCTGTAGACCGTCTGCTCCGTGTGTGTCTGCAGGCTACACCGCGTTTAACGGCGTCGACTTCGAGGGAACGTTTCACGTGAACACGGTGACGGACGACGACTACGCCGGCTTCATCTTCGGGTATCAGGACTCGTCCAGTTTCTACGTGGTGATGTGGAAACAGACGGAGCAGACGTACTGGCAGTCCCTCCCCTTCAGAGCCACGGCCCAGCCCGCCCTGCAGCTCAAGGTCCGAGTCTGAGACCTGCAGGTCTGAGTCCAGTCCAGCTGCCTCACGATGACTCTGACTCTGTGTTCTGGTCCTGCAGGCCGTGAAGTCCCGGACCGGACCAGGTGAGTTCCTGAGGAACGCTCTGTGGCACACGGGAGACACACCTGGAGAGGTGACGCTGCTCTGGAAGGATCCACGAAACGTCGGCTGGAAGGACAAGACCTCGTACCGCTTTCAGCTGAGCCACCGGCCGCAGGTCGGGTACATCAGGTGAGACCAGCACCAGACCTGAGACCCTGAACCAGACCTGAGACTCTGAACCAGACCTGAACATGAGTTAGACCACAAACTAGTACAGCAGTATCTTGTATTGCTGTATTTCAATACTGATACTGTAGTACTAGTTTGCACTCTGTAGTATCTGTAGTACTGGTACTGTAGTACTCAGTCTGCAGCTGTGTCTCCTCCACTCGTCTCTTTTCTTTTTACTACATTCTTTCCCCTCTGAAACTTCTTTGTGGCTCCGGGGCCCCCCGGTACTCTATTGTACTCATCTCCATGACGACCAAAGCCCTGGCAAGAATCCGCCTCGACAACCGTTGATATGCAGATCAGACGGAGAGACGCTGCAAAACTTCATCTGAGGAAACAGAGTCTGAAGAATCAGAACAAACTCATGATCTACACACACATGATCTACACACATGATCTACACACACACATGATCTACACACATGATCTACACACACACATGATCTACACACATGATCTACACACTTGATCTAGACACACACATGATCTACACACACATGATCTACACACACACACACACACGATCTACACACATGATCTACACACATGATCTACACACACACATGATCTACACACATGTTCTAGACATACACATGATCTACACACACACACACACACACACATGATCTACACACTTGATCTACACACATGATCTACACACATGATCTACACACACACATGATCTACACACATGATCTAGACACACACATGATCTACACACATGATCTACACACACACACACACGATCTACACACATGATCTACACACACGATCTACACACACACTCACACGATCTACACACATGATCTACACACACATGTAGGAGTGTTTGTTTTCTGACCCGGTGTCTTTCTGTGTGTCTCTCTGTGTCTGTCTCTCTGTGTGTGTCTCTCTGTGTCTGTCTCTCTGTGTCTGTCTCTCTGTGTGTGTCTCCCTGTGTGTGTCTCCCTGTGTGTGTCTCTCTGTGTCTGTCTCTCTGTGTGTGTCTCCCTGTGTGTGTCTCTCTGTGTGTGTCTCTCTGTGTGTGTCTCCCTGTGTGTGTCTCCCTGTGTGTGTCTCTCTGTGTGTGTCTCTCTGTGTGTGTCTCCCTGTGTGTGTCTCCCTGTGTGTGTCTCTCTGTGTGTGTCTCTCTGTGTGTGTCTCTCTGTGTCTGTCTCCCTGTCTCCGTCTCTCTGTGTCTCAGGGTGAGGCTGTACGAGGGGACAGACATGGTGGCTGACTCTGGTGTTGTGATCGACACCACCATGAGAGGAGGCAGACTCGGAGTCTTCTGCTTCTCCCAGGAAAACATCATCTGGTCCAACCTGCGCTACAGGTGTAACGGTACGACCTCTGACCTCTGACCTGTCCGTCATTACACCAGGACGAGTCCAGGTCCTGGCCTCATCTGGTTTTGAGGCTGTTTAGATCTGGAACGACATGGTCCTGGTACAAAACTGTGAAAAGAGACTTTCACCCAGAGGTGAAAGGTCACACACACACACACACACGTTTGGAGAACAGGAAGTCAGGTGACCCATGTAGAGGAGCTGTCAGTCAGTCATGATGTGTTCAGGTGCTCAAGATAAAAACGTCCCAGTCTGTTTGTGTGTAGACATTATCTGTAATTACAGATTAGTGATCAGGAGCTGTGTCATTAACTTGTGTTGTTGTTGTTGTCATGGTAACAGTCACTCCATCATTGAACTGGTTTGTTCTTGTTTCAGACACGGTGCCTGAAGACTTCCAGTCTCATCGTAAACAAGTTCTGATGCACATCCAGGTCTGAGAGCTGCAGACGGACTGTCCACAACACATGCACGCACACACACACACACACACACACACACACACACACACACACACACACACACACACACACACACATACATCTCTATACACAGACCCTGAGCTTCTCTGGATCCACTTTAACTGTAGTTTGAGTGTGTGGTGTGCATGTGAAGTTTGAATGTGTGTGTGTGGGGTGTGTGAGGGGGGAGGGGGGAGTCAGAGTGTCAGTCTGGGAAAACACTGACGAGGAGCACCTGAATGCACCGTCAGTGTTGGTCTGTGTTTAAACGTCTTATTTTCAGTTTGTGACTCAGAGTCAGTTTTGGAGTGTGAGGCGTTCAGGGTCCTGCAGGAGTCAACTACAACTCCCAAGGTGCATTTCACCTACAGACAGCCAATCACAGAGCTTCACATTCTGCTGCGTGCTCTGTTAAAGGTCAATGATCCTCACACTCTGCCGTCCATCAGTCCTCAGATGAAAACAGGGAACAGAGATGAAGTTTGACGAGCTTCATGTTGTTTTTCTCGACCTTTTGATGAGTATTTTATTTTGAAATTGAACTCTGTGCTGCAGCAGTTTGTCTGTTTCTCAGAAGGTTTCAGGTTCTGTTCAGTTGAACATCACTAATCTGTAACAACAACAGACCCTGCTGCCGACGATAAGCTAACGTTACACAGAGGAGAGAGAACGGTGGAACGTTCCTGTAAACGTTCCTGTGTTTTCACATGTACAGATCTTTGTTGAAATAAACTCTCCACCACGACTTTTCCAACGTTGACTCTTGTGTTTTATCTGAACTCAGACTCTGATTCACACCTCAGGTCTCGTCCTGTCGTTCCAGTGGTGGGGGGGTCGTGACCCCTGGGCCGGGGAGGCCGGGACGAGTGCAATATTGGAGTGGGGGCATGACAACAGTGCACCGCATCCCGGACCTGCCCGACCCTGGGAGGAAACACACCACACACCCTGAAACACACACACGGGAGGGGAGGGGGGGTTATCAATCAAAACAACTTTATTGTCCACGTGAATCAGTTTAATAAAGCTGAGTCTCTTCAGGTGGAGAAAACAAACACGCCTGTGAACATGTTTCTACCTGCTGTGGATCTGCTGTTTTTAATGAACCAACAAAGTAAATATCTGACCAATGATAAAATATGATGATGAGTTTATTTCACAGTAAAATGAATTTTATTATCATTATTATTGTTGTATAGGACCATCAGAGGAGCTGCAGCCTGGCTCACATGTAGAGTCTATCGTTGGAGCCTGAACGTGTCGCAGCAGCTGCAGCTGCTCATTTTAATGTCGACGCGTTCAGAGCAGTTTCGTCTTTACACTGTAAAAACATCCAGAAGAACCTGGTTTAATCCACATCAACCAGTTTCACAGACTGAAAACACGACGACTCCGACAGAACTACACTGAAGCGTCGTCATGTTTCAAATGAGAAATCTTTATTAGCACAGGAACAGGTGACACTGAGAGACAGAGGATCCGGTTCTTCAGCACAGAACGTGTGTAAACGCTCTTTTCTTTCCTGATCCTTCACATTCATCTGGTTTAAAAGTTTCTGTTCTCACATTCACTACAGAACTCAGATTCAAAGATTCAGACCCCGACAGATGTTCACAGATGTTGTTTACAGATGTTTACAGATGTTATCGTCACGTTCTCTGCTGGTTCCTACAGTGGAAAACAAACAGTGACTCACCTCTGCAGCAGCTTCTGTCTCTGTGTCCTGTAGTCTCTGGTCTGTGGAGGGTCTCGGTCTGTCGGTCCTGGATTTGGTCCGGACCCCCACTCCCCCACCCCACCCCCCTCCTATAAAGACTAACAAAGGCAGTGGAGCTGCTCAGTGAGGCGTGGAGGGGCCCCGCTCCTCTCTGAAAGGACCAACAGCTTAACCTGCTAAACTCTGCTGGAGCCTCCGGCTGCGCTCACACCCCCGTTCAAACACACACAACTTTATTTAAACTGCTGAAACTTTATTTAAACAGCTGACACAGGCTCAGGCCGCAGAGCAGGAAGTGACCCGCAGGAGCATCACAGGCGTCAGTCCGAGGCTCGGAGGTCGTGACCTCAGGTAGATACGAGGTTTCACCTGAGACCAGCGGCTTCATGTTGTCGGTGTCAGTGCTACCACCTGCTGTCTGTCTGAAGCTACTGCAGCTCAGATCACCAACCCTCCACCACACTGTGAATGCTTGGGGGGGTGGGGGGGCTGAAAAACACTTTCACTTCCTCTGAAAGTTCGTCCGCAGAAACTGTCAAATAATCAGTATTTTTATTTACAGTTATTATTCAATATTCTCTTGAATAAAACTTTAATCTCAATTAACAAGTTAATTATTAATTATTTACAATAAACAAGTTGTTTGTTTTCATTATTTGTTAAGTGCCAGTTGATTCAACTGTAAAAAGAAATGAAGGTGAAATGATGCTAAAATATAAATATGATTTAAATAAAAGATTGAACGCAGGAAAATGTTCCATATGTTTTATCTATATATTAATACTGAACTATGATGACTGAGTGTGAATCAGCTGTTTCTGCAGCAACAGCTCCAATGTCTCTGGCAAACTCTTCTTCTTTTATTCATTAAAGTTCTTATTAAATTATTTCTTATTAGAAAATGATTCAAAGTTCAAACTGAAGTTTCTGCTTCAGTTTGAACTGAAGGACAAACAGACAGACAGACGTCGACTTCCTGGAGGTCTGAAGTAAAAATAAACTGCTGCTGCAGCGTGTGTGTGTGTGTGTGTGTGTGTGTGTGTGAGACAGTTGTCGTGCAGCAGGTGCTGGTTGTTGGTGATTTATTTAGAAACGACTGAAGCTCCCAGTCAGCTGTGAACGCACCACGAGGCCAGAACACAGAACACTACAGACCTGAAGAGACCTGGACAGATCTGGACCGGGTCCTCAGAGATACCTGGACCTGGACCTGGAGAGGCCTCAAGAGTCCTGCAGGTTGTGGAGTCTGGGTGACGTCCTGCAGGACTGAGCGGGGACATGGACTGACTCTGATGCTGAACCAGCTGGAGGTAAGAGACTGTTGTGTTCCTCAGTCACTGAGAGACATCAGGTCTACAAAGACCTGGTCCTGCAGGTCCTCAGCGACTGAAGTTGGATCCACAGTTTAAACCTGTGTTTGTTTCTGCTGCTTCAGTAAATGAGAGTGTCGTTAGTTACTGGAGATTCTGTTTGTTATTGATCAGCTGATTGAGGTTTCAGTTCTAGTTCGGATCATTTACAGAAACACAATCTGTTCATTTGAAAACAAACGCCTTCATTAACAAATTAATTATAAGCAACAGCGTTCCCATTAACATCCACATGAAGCTGCTGCTGACAGTGACTGGATTTAATGTTTTTACAGAAGGTTTATCATAAAACATGTTGACATATAAATCAGCTGTTTTTATCACAGTGAAGAAACACATTAATAATATCATTCATTAAATCACGAAATCATGAATCATGTGTGAGTTAATTAGAGTGAAACACTGAGGATCTGTTTCAGCTGTTTGTTGATCAGCGACCTCACCGAAACCAGCTGAGCAGCAGGTGACAGCAAACTTAAAATAACTTTATTGATCTGTCAGGACCTTCATTCATCCATGGATCTCTACTGATGAAGCTAGATTAACAGTTTATCTATCTTAGCAGTCTTTGTGCTAAGCTAGGCTAACAGTTCTTGTATATAAACTGTACATATGTGTATTTGGGTCTGTGACTAACTCTGGGGCCAACTGGAGTTTAAATTTAGACACACACACACACACACACACATACACACACACACACACACACACACACACACACACACTGAGCCCCTCCCACCTGACTGAAGGTCAGCTGACTCAGTCACTCATTCATTCATTTTAAAGGAACAGCTCCACATTAATTGTCTAATTGTTCAGGTTGAAATCAGTCCAGAGGCGACAGGATCCACCTGCAGCTCCTGTCAAGATCACTGATGAATGATTATTGATTGATGATCACTGATCAATATTCAGTGACGCCCTCATGTGTAAAACAGGCAAATGAAAGTAGTTTAGTTCAGTCATAAATGTTAAAGATCATGAGCTTTGAACAGGTGGTCGTCATGGCAGCGCTGCTGTATGACAGGTGTACCTAACAAATCGCTCACTCTGTGTTTATCAACCTGTCTCTGATTCATCGAGTCGCCACAGAGTCAACGACACAAACAACCTGCAGCTCCAGGAGCATTCATCTGTGGCCAATGAAGAGAGAGCGCTGTGGTAAGCCCCACCCCTCTCGCCAGCTGCTGTTTGTTCTGCAGAAAAAAAACAAACAGAGAAGAGTCCATGTTAGAGGTGAACTCTGACCCCCCCCAAACTCTGAATGAAATATACAGTGTGTGCCCATGTGTCCGTGTGTGTGTGATGTTTACAGTGTGTGTGTGTGTGTGTGTGTGTGTGATGTTTACAGTGTGTGTGTGTGTGTGTGATGTTTACGGAGCAGGACGTTGTTCTGAGCTCACTCATGGGTTTGTTCCTGAGGATTGACGCTGACTCTGACGGTAGGACTCAGACTGAAGCTTCGTTAACTAACCGTTAATGACACAGGTGATCAGGTGACCTGAGCCTGGACTGTGACAGTCCAGCTGTGAGTCCAGCTGTGAGTCTCCACACTAACAGACTGTAAGAAATGAATCATCAGCTGGTTTCAGTTTCTGTCTGCAGTGAAATGTTTTGTCTATTTTTATTGTGACTTTAATGTTTTTGTTTGAAGTTTCCCGCCCAGAGACGTCAGATGTAAATTAGCATTTTGCTACAGTCCGGTTTGTTTACATGGTGTATTTTGTACTAAGGTTCATCAACATGTTTTATTGTCCCTATCAAATAAACAAACAAATCAGTAGATGACAGCAGATCATGTGACACAACACTGTAACTATCAGCTGTTAATGTAGAAACAGGAAGTGACAGAGAGAGGAAGTCACGGAAAACCACCAACTACACCTTCATCCAATCAGATAAGTCCTGTTACACACACATGGACAGGTGTGATGTGTGTGTTACCATTTGTTGTTCAGGTTGTAGGAGATTCCATGTTTGGTGTATATGGAATATATTCTTCATGTTTCAGTCTGGAGGCTGAAGCTCGGTCTGGACTCACTCAGGACTGTTGATGAGTAAGATGGAAGCCATCTTGGACGATACCAACAACCCTCTTCATAACATCCTGGCAGGACAGAGAGGTTCAGGAGACTCTTTGTTCCCAGACTGTAAGACATCTCAGACTGTAAGACACCTCAGACTGTAAGACACCTCAGACTGAGGACGTGGACTAGTTTAATTATCATAGATACTTGATTTATCCCCGAGGGGAAGTTGAGGAATGTTATAAATGAAGTATAGTAGAAGGTCTGAGGCTTCACTCAGTCAGTGTGGCCTTTGGACAGTAAACACAGAGACATGTGGACCAGTGGACGGACTCAGACTCGGCGTCACAGTCAGTATTAACATGAAGCCTGATGATGTCACTGATGACTCATCACTAATGGATCGGATGCTCTGTAATCACATCAGTCTGTCTCTGCTTCATACTGAGAATCTCTGAGGACACAGAGGAGACAGGAAGCTGGACTCTTCTCGCTCCCTCCATCATGACTCCATCTGACCCCCTCCCCCGCCCTCCGCCCCCCTCCCCCCTGCACTTCCCCCCACCAGCCACCTCCACCTGTGACACACTGACAATTAGCCAATCACAGAGCTGCAGACTACTGCAGCCAAGGCTCATGGGGATTGTGGTATTTAGAGGCCGGTCAGAAACAAAGAGTGATCATTCAAAATGGTGTCAGAACATGAATCGGTCTGACGGTGGATCAGGACCAAAGAGAAACCACCACAGTCTGGTCTGAGTCCAGGTCCACATCCAGAGTCCAGGTTCAGGTCCACATCCAGATCCGGTCTGTGGTTTAGTCAACAGCTCTTTGGTTCAGGTGAAATGTAAATAAACAGGTTGAGGACTGACTCTGTATAAAACCAGACCAGGATCTTGAACCTGAGCCAGAATCTGTGAGAGTCTGAACAGAACCAGAAAGTCACACCAGGTCTGACGTGGTCCAGTCTGGTCTCGGTCTCACCTCCGTGTGTCTCTGTCTTTCAGAGTCCTGGAGATCTGGAGAGACCCTGAACCTGATCTGGTCTCAGGTCTGCTGATGGAGCCTCGGACCACTGTAACACCACAAACAGCGTTACCATGGAAACACTGCATCCACCTGACTCTGCTGCTGGTCCAGCTGAGTTTACCTGAGGGTACACACACACACACACACACACTGAAATGTTAGACTGCATTGGGAGTTTTATTTTGAAGGTGAACACTGAGTTGGATGAAGTCTTTGTGAGTTTTATTTTGAAATCCACAAGGTCTCAGGTTCAGGAGGATTTTCAGGATGTAGCTGGAGCCTTCAAAATAAAAGCTTCTTTGCTGAGGGGCCTTCAGGTCCACGTGTCAAACTAACTTCCTGTCTCTGCAGTCGGAGCTTCCTGTCGGATCCTCAGGTGTAATTCTGACTTTGTGGCTGCAACGTTGACCCTGGGCAGCAGCAGCAGCAGCAGCAGCAGCAGCGGCGGAGGGGGAGGAGGAGGACCAGGTGGAGGTCCAGGTGGAGCAGCAGGTGGAGCAGCTCTCAGCAGGGAGGCAGTGAACGCCGGTTATTGCAGCGCCCTGCGCTCCTACGCCATGTGCACAAAGCGGATGGCGCGGGCCTGTCGCGGCGACCTGGCGTACCACTCTGCGGTTCAGGGCATCGAGGACCTGCTGATCCAGCACCGCTGCCCCCGGGCGGGGCCCACAGCCCAGCCCCGCCCCCTCCCTCAGGGCACGCTGTCCGGAGACGCCTGCCTCTACGAGAGGAGCTTCCTCAGCAGGGAGGGACGGGCGCCGGAGTACCTGCACTGCGGCGTGTTCGGAGACCCGCACGTCCGAACCTTCAACAACGACTTCCAGACGTGTGCTGTGCAGGGGGCGTGGCCCCTTATAGACAACGAATACCTGTTCATACAGGCCACCAGCTCGCCAACCAGGGGCGGGGCTTATGGCACAGTGCTTACAAAGGTGAGTCACAGAGACCTGAACGAATTCTGATGTCAGAGCTTCAAACAAATCACACCCGAACTGGTCCAGCTGACTCCAGATCAGCTGACAGATCGACTGATCAATCACTGATCTGATTGGTCAGTTTGATCAACTGTTGACTCAGTAACTGGACACAGTAACTGGACAGAAGGGGTGGGGGGCAGATTAAACTTACTTCCTGTGACGTCACAGTGTGCTGGCGTACATTGTGACGTCACAGGAAGTAGCTGCAGCTTGATGTTGACGCGGACTGTCTGTTCTCAGGTCACCATCATCTTTAAGAACACGCGGCAGTGCTCGGAGCAGCAGCTGTACCAGGCCGAGCTGGACAACGTTCCAGCCGCCTTCGCTGACGGCTCCGTGTCGAGCGGGGAGCGGCGGGGTCACCACAGTCTGACGGTCCGGACCCAGAGTCCCGGCCGACAGGCGGAGATCCGGGCGGCGCACATCGGGACTCTGCTGCTGGTCCGTCAGAGCGGCCGCTCCCTGAGCCTGTCGGTGCGGTCGCCGCGCGGCATCGTGGAGGCCTTCGGTCCGGAGCAGGACCTGCAGCTGTGCGTGTGGGGCTGCCCCCCCTCCCAGAGACTTGACACGCTCCACCCCCCGCCCCCCCCGCCGGACTCCTCGCCGTCCACCACCTTCAGCGCCCACGCCCACTGCGCCGCGCTGCTTCCCGCCCGAGACGTTTACTACCAGGCCTGCGTGTTTGACCTGATCTCCAGCGGAGACCTGAACTCCAGCTCGGCCGCCGTCAGCGCGCTGCAGGACGCAGCCGCCATGATCTCAGAGCGGGAAAGAGTTCACCTGCTGCTGGTCGCCTCCGCAGAGCGGCCTCACCTGACGTTGCTGCTGCTGCTGCCGCTCGGCATGCTGGGAACTCTGACCAGAGCCTGAAGCGCAAGAAGTCATGGATGACATCACTCCACGACAGACTGACAAATCTGAGGAGGATGGAGCACACACCTGTGGTCACGTGATGTGACGGAGACAGACAGCAGCTCACCTGGTGGATCAGGATCAGGATTTGGATCAGGTTTAGACCTGAGGACATTCAAGACCTGTCCCTCTCCTCACCTGTCCCTCTCTTCACCTGTCCCTCACCTCACATGTCCCTGTCCTCACCTGTCCCTCACCTCACATGTCCCTGTCCTCACCTGTCCCTCACCTCACATGTCCCTGTCCTCACCTGTCCCTCACCTCACATGTCCCTGTCCTCACCTGTCTCTCTCCTCACCTGTCCCTCTCCTCATCTGTTCCTCTCTTCACCTGTCCCTCTCCTCATGTTCCTGTCCTCACCTGTCCCTCTCCTCACATGAGAGTGATGACGATGATGATGACGATGAACCTTCCTCACATTATCAAACTAACGCTAATGGTCGAGTTGACGTGATGTGTGTAAATATAATATAGATCATGTACGATGTGTGTATATGTTACTGTGATGTGATGTCATTGGGGGTGTGATGTCATCGGGGGTGTGATGTCGTCAGGGGTTTGAGGGGGTTCGGGGGTGCAGCCCACTGAGGTCTCTGCTCTTCAGCCTGGGTCTCTGCTGCAGGATCTGGTACCTGAGCTCTGAGATCAGGTCCTGGTCCAGGGCCTGGTCCTCAATGGTCCTGGTCTAGACGACCTTCAGGGCGGGGGGGGGGGGGCATGGACCACAACCGTTGGTCCTGCTCCGTGCCGGGACCAGTCCTGAGCAGCTGTGGGGAGAACCTGAACCTGCTGATGGTTCTGGAGCTGGTCCACAACCAGCTGTTCAACAGGTTGTTGGTCTGACACCAAGAGTCCAGGTCCTCCTCACACAGGTGGAGTCTCTGATCCGGTCCAGACTGTCCCAGTGTCCATGGCAACCTTCCCCATCGTTCCCTTCACTCCCACATCACGGGAACGCGGCGTCAGATCTTACAGCAATGCACTCTGGGACTTGTCCTCTGGACACAGTGTGTGACCTTTGACCTAGTGTAGCTGTGTCTCCTCAGTTCAAGTGCAGTGGGACAGCGGAGGTTGATCAGCTGGTTAATGAGACATTTTCTATAGTTAATGATGAATAATATAAAGATATAAATCATGAATATCAGGCTGTTTGTTGATGTGAGTGTTTTCTCTGTCGGTCCTCAGACTCTGATGGAGTCACAGCTGTTAACACTGATCTGATTACTGTTGCATTATGGGAGTTTCAGCCATAATTAGTTTCCTCTTTAAAGAACTGTTGCACAAGTCGTTTACAGTAAAGTGATCTCTGGTAATTAGTCACCTCCATCCCTGGAAGTGGACCGAGCTGCGGGCTGCAGGTAAATCATGACACTACAGGAATGCTGAGGGGGGCGGAGTCACACACCCGACTGGAATCAGTGGAAAAACCCTGAAGAGACATGATGATGAAACGGCAGCTGTTCCTAATGACAGAAGCTTCACCTGCGTCTCCAGGTGTGACTCAGTGTGTGTGTGAGTGCGTGTGTGTGTGAGTGTATGCGTGTGTGTGAGCGTGTGTGAGCGCGTGTGTGTGTGTGTGACTGATGCAACTTAATCCCTCAAACTTCCAGTGAAGTATAGTGAGATGCAGAAAGTGATGACACAGCGTTTCCTTGTGTCTGATGAAACATTTCCTGCAGCAACAAGAAAAGTTTTCTGCTCTCACTGATATCAATCTATCAATCAATCAACCAATCAATAAGTAAATAAACAGGTCCGTGCTGCAGGATGCACAGCTGATCTTTATTCACATTCAATATTTTTCAAAATAAACATCTTTTCAGTCAGTGTGAACTTTAGTCTTTAGTTTGTGACACTGACGTGATTTTAAGTTTTAATCTTGTGAATCAGAAACAGAAAAACAAAAAGACAAAACATCAAACTACAGAAGAAAAACCTGGAAATCCCAAAAGGATCAATAATAAAACATGATGATAAACAACTGATGATACTAGTCATGTTAAAACTCAATGTTGAACTGAAGGAGAAACATCTGTGACACTGAGTCTGAACGTGTGTGTGTGTGTGTGTATGTATTTGTGTGTATGTGTTTGTGTGTGTGTGTGTGTTTGTGTTTGTGGGTGTGTGTGTATGTGTGTGTGTGTGTGTGTGTGTATGTGTTTGTGTGTGTGTGTGTGTTTGTGTTTGTGGGTGTGTGTGTATGTGTGTGTGTGTGTGTGTGTGTATGTGTTTGTGTGTGTGTGTGTGTTTGTGTTTGTGGGTGTGTGTGTATGTGTGTGTGTGTGTGTGTGTGTATGTGTTTGTGTGTGTGTGTGTGTTTGTGTTTGTGGGTGTGTGTGTATGTGTGTGTGTGTGTGTGTGTGTATGTGTTTGTGTGTGTGTGTGTGTTTGTGTTTGTGGGTGTGTGTGTATGTGTGTGTGTGTGTGTGTGTGTATGTGTTTGTGTGTGTGTGTGTGTTTGTGTTTGTGGGTGTGTGTGTATGTGTGTGTGTGTGTGTGTGTGTATGTGTTTGTGTGTGTGTGTGTGTTTGTGTTTGTGGGTGTGTGTGTATGTGTGTGTGTGTGTGTGTGTGTATGTGTTTGTGTGTGTGTGTGTGTTTGTGTTTGTGGGTGTGTGTGTATGTGTGTGTGTGTGTGTGTGTGTATGTGTTTGTGTGTGTGTGTGTGTTTGTGTTTGTGGGTGTGTGTGTATGTGTGTGTGTGTGTGTGTGTGTATGTGTTTGTGTGTGTGTGTGTGTTTGTGTTTGTGGGTGTGTGTGTATGTGTGTGTGTGTGTGTGTGTGTATGTGTTTGTGTGTGTGTGTGTGTTTGTGTTTGTGGGTGTGTGTGTATGTGTGTGTGTGTGTGTGTGTGTATGTGTTTGTGTGTGTGTGTGTGTTTGTGTTTGTGGGTGTGTGTGTATGTGTGTGTGTGTGTGTGTGTGTATGTGTTTGTGTGTGTGTGTGTGTTTGTGTTTGTGGGTGTGTGTGTATGTGTGTGTGTGTGTGTGTGTGTATGTGTTTGTGTGTGTGTGTGTGTTTGTGTTTGTGGGTGTGTGTGTATGTGTGTGTGTGTGTGTGTGTGTATGTGTTTGTGTGTGTGTGTGTGTTTGTGTTTGTGGGTGTGTGTGTATGTGTGTGTGTGTGTGTGTGTGTATGTGTTTGTGTGTGTGTGTGTGTTTGTGTTTGTGGGTGTGTGTGTATGTGTGTGTGTGTGTGTGTGTGTGTGTGTGGGATGGGGGGGTGATGGCGATGAAGGTTGAAACTGCAAATCAAAAACAATATCTTTGTTGATATTATGAAAAGAACATGTTGCAGGAAATATTGTGATATTTAATATTATTGAAAATGATGGATCAGTGAGTCAGTCTGAGCATGAAACAGACTTAAACAGAAATGTGAATGGGAGGGAAGATGATGATGATGATGAAGGTGTGACTTCCTGTCATGTGATGAATGTGAAGTGGCGACACACCTTCAGTCTGAGTCACAGCTCTGAGTCTCTCCTGGAAACTGGATCTGCAGAAGAACTGATGTCAAACCTTCTAAGAACCCAAGAGCCGGATTCTCGGGATCGAGGATGGACGGGGGATAAATATGACGGCTGCACATCACAACCTCCACAGCGCTCAGAGACGAGACCCAGGTCCAGACCAGCATCAGCAGAGCTGCCTCATCCCTCCATCACAAGACAACAAGTGAGTTCTTCTTCTTTATCTGCAGGACGTTTGAGCTGCTGCTGTTTGAATTTAAACCTCTTCACACAGTTTGTTTCTGACAGAGACAGAAAGAGAATCATTCAGTAAAACTTTATTTAACTGAAGCTCAGTGGGTCAAAACAACAGACAGGAAACCTCCAGGACCATGGACCCAGTGATTCCACAGTGGTACTGGGTTAAACTGGATCCAGGTCTGAGTCTGAGCCGGATCGAGCTCCAGTTTAACCCAGAGGTTGTGGTGCGTTCAAGTCAGGGATGAGCGTCAGTGAAGTTTAGTTTGTTCAGCCTCTTCTGAATGAGTTTAATGTGTGTGTGTGGACCTGTCTCACAGAGTCAGAGCATCACACACACACAGTTGTGTTCATAAAACCCTGTCCTCATCTTGTTGCAGTGCATTGTGGGAACCTCTTGTTCCTGTTCCTGGGGCTGTGGGCGGAGCTTGCTGCAGGTAGACCATTAAGGGACACAAATAGCACCCAGCTTGAGATGCAGAGTATCATCGAGGACCTGCAGAAGGCGCTTGAGGTCTACAGCAGCGTCCTCCAGAAGACGGTGAGTTATTTATCTATTTTTACTTTTATTATTATTTGATTTATTTAAATTGGAAATTTTACCATCAGACAAATCAGTTGTTAAATAAAGAAACATCAAATTTCAACAAAAAAGATGAAAATTATTGAAAAATATATAAATTAAAAAAGGATAAATGTGTGTCAGGCTTCTTCAGACACACATTTCAGAATATATATACTATATTATATATATACTTCCTGTTTGTGACCACTTTCAAAGTAACGTTCAAGATCAATTAGAAACATCCTCAAGGAGACAATTGATTTTTTTGACTTTTTGAGACGGACCAGACTCCCTTCAATAAACACCTGATTTTCATCATTATCAGTGATTCTGGACTAGAGGGTGGAGAGAAATGATGTTTGGGTTCGGGTCGGGTTCGGGCAGATCTGTCCGGTTTGAGCTGCCTCTGTTCTCTAAACAGTCTGATGATGTTTAATGTCTTAATGAATCTGTCTTCATACAGGACACCGTGAGAGCCCTTCCGGTCCTGCCCTGCACTGTGACCACTGTTCCCCCGAATCAGGTGTGTCTCCCACTGCGCCTGTGCACTGACATCTACACTCAAAACATTAATATTGTCACAAATTGTGTTTAAACTGACACTGTACAAAACAACAAAACACGTGTGTCATGTGGTTGAAGCTTTATAATAAACAGTAGCTCCTGAGTTGAACTGTTCTGAGGT